ACACACACACACTGCCTCCCAGCCACCGGGGCTTCCCCAGGCGGCAGCTTCTCCTGGGAACTGTGAGTGACAAACCATCTCTTCAGTGACAGTTGCCTCCTGACCTGTTGGCCTCACGCACCTGAGTAATAATAAAATCTACATCTTCAAACAGTCACGTGGGACAGGAAATAGGGTGAATTTTCAACCTTGAGGATAGCATGGCTTTGCATCTCATTTAATTCCCACACTGGGTCCTCTGGGGGCTAATCCACACTGCCCCCCGCCAGACATGCATGCGTGTGTGCGTGCATGTGTGTGCGCGTGCGTGTGTGCACGTGTGTGTGGGGGGGGCGGGGCTGCCCCTCTCCATCTCTCCGCTGCTGCCTGGAGCCCCGCAGGCCAAGAGAACAAACGTGGGGAATCCTGCAGGGAGAGGGACACCTGGGTCCCGTTTCCATGCTTAGTCCCCTGCAGAGGCCCCATTAGAGCCCCTCTTGTGCCCTCACAGATTCCAGACCCCCCGGGAGCCGGGCCTCAGCAGCCATTGCTCTGCTCCCTCCCCTCCCCCTTCCAGGCCTCCTCCCAGCAGGACCAGCTGCTCTCCAGCGGGGTTCTGGGGCTGGCACTGGAGGGCCTGCTGTGCACATCGAAGCCACACTCCCCATGACGTGACATTCCCACTAAGCGAGCCTCTGTTTCCTCATCTCAGGAATGTGGGTTACAGTATTCACCTGATGCATTTTTTTGAGGATTAAATTGAGTAAAACATCAAATTTTCCCATTGTAGATGCTTAAATGTTGGTTTCCTCCTCTTCACTCTCGCTTTTCCCTCCCACATCGAAGGCTTCCTCCCCGCTGGCCCCGGCTGACTGAGCGGCTCCTGACCCTGAGGCCACGGCCTGGCCTCCGAGGCCGGGACTGTTGCCAGGCTGTTCCTGGAGGAGCAGCCGCCCTCGGGGCTCCTGTGCAGGAGGCTGTGTTCGCTTCACTTTGCTTCGCCTGAGGAACATGGGGAGGCGGTTCCTGCCCACGGGGCTGCACCCGTGCGTGTCTGCCTGACCTGTGGGCCACGGAGGAGGAGATGTGCGTGTACAGGGAGGCTCCTAGCTCCACGGGGGACCCAGGCTGTAGCCCAGGGTGGCAGCTGGACTGCTTGTCCTCTGGACACCCCAGGACAGTGCCCTCTGTGGGGGACAGTGCTCATTTGGTGGCCAGTGACAGCAACAAAGAGCCCTGAAGAGACGGCATGGGTGGGATGACAAGCACAGAAAACAACAACAAAAACCCGAGCCCGCCAGTGTCTGAGAGCAACGCCGGAGCCGTGGAACTAACCAGCACGCGTGTGGCAGCTGGGGCAGGAGCAGGACACAGAAGAAGAGCCCACTGATGCCCAGATGCCAGCACATCCTGGGAACACAACTTATCTCTCCGCTCAGCAGACACTTCTAAGTCCCCACCAGGCAGGCGGCCGGGCAGCGTGCTGGATGTGGGGCCCATCAGGAGCGGGAATGCGCCTCCCTGCGGGCTCACAGTCCATGTACCCCCTTTGAAATCCCGTATATTCCCGTAGCCTCTGAAACACCCGAGACATCAAGGCCATTTGTTAGGCATGAGTTCCCGTGGGCGCCTGGTCCCGCGGCACTGAGCCTGGGCGCGTGGTGGGGAGGTGCTGTCTGATTGCTCGGTTTCCTGCCGGCAATGCTGCAGCGAGGCTGCCACTTACTGCCCGCACCCCCAGTTTGTGCCCTGTGTGAACTCTCCCTTCAGAGAGCTGGCCCAATGGCACCCACACCGAGCTGGGCGTGGCGCGGCGGGAGGAGCCGCCCGTCTCTGTTTGTGTGTTTGACGAGGACTCAGGTGTGCAGAATTGGATTCGTCAGAATTCTTGGTTCGAGACACGCACTCTTCATTGGTCCTTGCGTGGCCTGTTTCTTAATCTGTTTGGTGATCAGCAATAATAAGCCGCAGCCAACCTGAGATCTAGACCTTGATAAACTTGTATCTTCTCAACCCACCCCACCCTGCCCCAGCTGCCACTGGCTGCGCTCACTGCCTAAGCCTGTGTTTCTCACTCTCCTGCTTTGTTGACACATAGACAGTTTAAACACTTCAAGTCATACATGTGACCTTTAAATATACACACACGCATCTATATAGAGTTAAGTGTAGTTTTATCATTTGTGCTCTTCGATAGACATATATAGTCACGTGTATGTATATAGTACATGTAAATCTGTGTATGTGTATATGTTATACATGTAAATGTGTGTACATACTAGTATATATGTTGTACATGCATATGTGTGTATAAATGTTGTACCTGCACACGTGTGTAGATGTTGTACCTGCACTCGTGTACTATGTGTATGTGTTGAACCTGCACATGTATGTGTGTCGTACCTGTACATGTGTGTTGATGTTGTGCATGTACACGTGTGTGTATAGATGTACATGTATGCATGTGCATGTATATGTGTTATACATGTGTGTGTTAAACATGTGTACATGCATAGAGGGAGTGAGAGAGTTTAGAGTCAGTTGTTTGTCACTTAATATAAAAGAGGGTCATGCTGTAAATAAATGTTCTGGGACTTCCTGTCTATGTAGGAATATACCGCTAAGATCCCGCCTGGTATTGCATGTGGCTTAGTCTGTTCATTCTCACCACTGGACCAGACTCCACTGTGCTCCACCTCGGTTCACGTACCCCTTCTCTTGTCTGGTGGGTATTTGGTTTCTTTCTATGTTCGCTTTCCCCTGTGTATTATGGAACATTTTAAACATGTTCAAAAATAAAGAGAGTGGCCCAGGGAGCCCTGCCCTCATCATCAGTGTTGACACCTGGCCAACTTATTTCATCGACACTCCCGCCAGCACTGGATGATTCTGAAATGAATCTCAGCGATCAGCCATAAATATTTCCGTGTGCCTCTTAGAAAGAGAACTCTGCTTTCCAAATGTAGCCACCCAACATCTCATGTGCCCCCTGATACGATCACAAATCCAGTGTCCAGATTCCCCAGTGTCTCCACGCTGTCCAGCAGTATGACCTGCCCTTGCGAGCCTGGCAGCAGGAAATGCTAGGGGTGCAGTCAGGCATCTAGAAAGCCACTGGCTGTTCTCGTCCGGCTGCATCAGCTTGTTTTCTGGGTCGTCGCTGAAGCTGACAAAATCTGAAGTTGGAGAACTCCGAAGAGCACTGGAGGAGGAGTCCAGGAAGGAAGAGGGGTAAAGCCATGAGGCCCCGACCTGAGCCAGCAGATCCAGGAAGGGCAGAAGCACCAGACCTACTGCCTGAATGTCCTCACCTATGGTTCCTTCTGGAAGTGTTTCCCCCTCCTGCCCAGTTTTAACTCCTAGTTCGATGCCAAAGGCCTCTCCACCCCTTCTATTCTCTCCTCCCTCCTTACATGAGGGAGAGCTGACCTGTGCATTGGCCAGTTTCTATGGTGCAAGTACTCCCACCTTGGCCGATTTTAAGCCTCTAACATCCTATCCCTGAACAGATTTGGGAGAAATGCCAGCCACACTGGCTCTTGCAAGAGGTGCAAGCTGGACCCAGCACCCCATGGAGTGGCAAAGATTGCCTTTTCACTCCCCAGGACCTAATGAGAAGTGATCACCGGGTGTGAGAGTGACCGCTCCGAAGTGGCCTGGTACACCTCTGCCCGCTCGGCAGTGCGTGAGTGCTTCACACCCAGGGCTGCTTTCATCCACGATCTGGTTACTGTGAAACAGGTCATTTTCCATGGCTCTGTCATGTGTGTTTCTCCTGCATGTTTCTTACTCATGTTCTTTCGTTATTAGGATTATGATGCTTTTCTTTAAAGTGTGAATATGCTATAGTTTAATTCCTTGAATTTGGCTGACAATTTTCTTTGCCTTTTGTTTTTATTATTTCATCAACAGAAATTGTAGCAACATCAAGCCTGTCAACCTTCACTCTGGAGATTCTTTTACTGGGAGTGAGTCCAAGAGGATGTGTCCTGTTTTCATTGTCCTACAGCATGTGGCAGGCATGACTCCAGGTGCTGGGGACACAGCCATGGCCCAAGCAACACCTCTGCCCTCATGGAGCCCTCATTCCAATGGGGAGAGCAGACAGAAATTAAGCAAGCAAGCATATAATAAAAGGTCTGGTGAGGATAAGAGCTATGACATAAAGCACAGTGAGGGGGAAGGGAGTGTAAAGAGGTGCCATTTAGAAGGGCCCCTGGGAAGGTCACCTCGGAACAGACTTGAACGGGTGAAGGCGTGCGTCATGCTAATTTTCCTGCAATTTGATTTTTAAAAATAATCTCACTGGCCCGGGACCAGCGGCTCAGTCGGTTGGAGTGCCATCCTGTACACCAAAAAGTTGCAGGTTCAATCCCTGATCAGGGCACATATGGGAGGCAACCCATCAATGTTTCTCTCTCACACATCAATGCCTCTCTCACCCTCTCTCTCTCCCTCTTTCTCTCTCTCTCTCTCTCTCTCTCTCTCTCTCACACACACACACACACACACACACACACACACCAATAGGAACCTTTTCTTGTGTGAGGATATTTTTTAAAAAAAGATAACCTAATTGGAAATATTTTGGCATATGATATAAGAGGCTCTGATTATTTTTTCTACAATGTATGCACTTACCTCAATATCCCTTCCTTTCTCTTTATTTTTAGAACTCGGTTTAAGGTTGGGTCTACTTCTCAGTTCACTGATGTGTTTTAACGTGTATTTTTCTGATAGTCTACTCTATTTTAATTGCTCTTTTTTGGATCATCCTTTTGAAAAAAATCACCAATTTGTGTTTTAGCATGTCTAAGCTATCCTTCCCAGTCTCGAAATGAAATTCCATCTTCCCAAAGAGGCAAACTCCGCTTAACCATCTTTGTATGTGTGACATCTCCCAGAGAGCAGAGCCAAAGAGACTTTTAATATATTTTTGTTAAATGATGACTAAATGAATTTCAAACTCATTTTGACATTTTTAATGCTTTTCAGGTCTAAGGGTACCTCACTCTTTTAAATGGGTCACGGGTGACAGAGGACTCACCTGACCCACACTGCTCCTGCCATTCAGTTTAATGTAATAAACTTTACATGAACGCTCGGTCCTTTTCTACAGCCACTGGGAGCACACAGACAGAAAAGGGCAAGGTCCTGCACACAGACAGAGCCGCTTGCGTCAGTCAGACTTTCATTTGTATGTGAGTCATTTTACTTCCTTTATTTTGCTTGAATAGGATTGAACATCTTGATGACCAGTCTTCAATGTCGTCAGGCCATATGCTTTTCCAGTTCTGTGTCTGTGCCGTCTGCGCATCCATATTCCCCCCAAAACCAAGAAGACCAGCGAAAGGGGGGCCAGTGCAATCCCCCAGGAGAACGTGGTGGCTGTGGGAAGAAAGGTCAGGTCAGGGTCAAACGTTCTCTCACCAGATAGGACAGTGCGTGCGGGTTTGGGGGCAGAGAGCCACGGAGGTGGGTCTTCCCATAAATGTGCACTGAGTTTCAGAATGTGTGTCCCGGGCACCAGGACCAGGGGCATTGGAGGGTGACCTCTGTGGCGTCATGGAAACCAGCAAAGGGGAGCAGCACTTCATCTGAGAGAAGCGGCAGAGCGAGGGTCTGCCTCGGCCTCCCCACTGGGCGGTGCGCAGCGAGCTGTCGCGTGGGTAGGCCTCAGCTCGAAACCGTGACGAGGCCAAGTTAGCTCTGCCCTTTCCCAATGAGCATGGATGTCATGAGGATTCAATACAGTCGCAAAGGAAAGAAAACAAACGGTGAAAAGAGAAGTTTAGGTGTGGAGATCGTTGCTTGGATGCAGCTGTTTTATGTCCTACTCCTTGGCTTCTGTGTGTTATGAAAACATAGGAAGAGACTGTGAAGAAAAGTTAACGAGGAAACACAAGAACATGAGTGCTGTCAGACACATTGACGAAGAGGCCAGAATTCCACGTGTGTCTATCATACTGTCTATCATAGTCTGTCTAGGCATCCAGCAACCAACACAATTTCAGACTATTTTCTCCAGGTGATTCTTACGCCCTAAAACCCAACAAGGCTTTAAGTAAGTGATGCTTCCATCTGCTAAGCGGCCATTCGAAGGCACCTGTGTGTCCCTGCGGTCAGTCATGGCCAGCTCAGCAAGAGGACACGGCTCTCATTACAGAATGGTTAGAGGTTCCCACCATCAGGCTGGACAACCACAGTTCCTTTGGGTCACGAATCTGAGCCCTAGCAGTGGGCTCCGCTCTCTATGGGACCTCCATTTCCAAGTCTAAACAGCCCCCAGCCCCTGTGGAAATGAGCTGGACTTCAGCTTTTGCATACGCTTCAGTATGAAGAGGCTGCGCAGGTGCCCCCCCTCGGCCCTCCCCGGGGTTCCTGGGGGAGCCCAGGGACCTGTATGTCACCAAGCAACTCCATGAGCAAGGCTGGTGGCTTTCCTTTTGGAAAAGGTTGTGTGGAGATGTCTTCTCGGCCCTGAGACCTGGCCCAGCCCTCAGCTTTCCCATAACAGTCTGTCTGCACTGCCCCAGGCGGGGCCTGGAGCAGCTGTGTCCCTGCACATGCCCAGAGGTGTGATGATGACCTCTGGGGCCAACTCTGGCTGGTCCCTCGTCATCTTCCGGGGCTGCCGACAGACCGCCGGGCGGTCTCCTTCCTGCTCAGCTAAACTAAGAAGGCGGGGTTTTCTCTCTTCTTTTAAAATGTCCTTATGTGGGCACTGGGTTGATTTGCCTTTCACTCTATTTCCTATTCACTGATGACTTTAACCCTAAAGCTGCCTCGAGCCCTGGGATCTACCAGTCCTGGCTCTTGGGGGTAAGGTTTCTCAGTTTGGGGGTAAAGAACGTACCCCCTTCTCAAGGGGTCACAAGGGACAGCTGGTCCTGCTGAGCCACGCAGATCCACAAGAGGACACAGGTTTCCTAGGGTTTATCACAGAACCATTTTATCTCTTTTCCAAAAATCTGCTTGCTATTTACATTTTTATTTGACTATAATCTCCTAAAGCCAGCCTCCACCCAACAGAAAAAATTGTAAAATATTAGAGATTTGTTCTAATTCCTGGAAACTTCCTACGCTTGTTCCAATATTAGAGATTTGCTCAACTAACAGGAAGCCCAAGGGACTTGCTAAGTGATTCTGGAGAACTGGCAGCCTTGCCCAGCACCCAGAGAACATTCCACACGCTTCCCGTCTGGGCGCCCGGAATACGTACCTTCTTTGACTGTGGTATGCAGCATCTGAAAACTCAGTGTGTTGTGAACAACACATTTAAAATCCGTGGTCAGATCCTCTCTGATAACTGGATCAAAAATCAGGGGCACTTCAATGTAGTTTGCGTCGTTTTCTGAGTATTCCCTGCGTGAGAAAGCGTTTGCTCAGGTGGTCGGTCAGGTCAGGCTGGCCTTACACACAGACACCCAAACATGCCCAACAAGAAGGGCCCACGGTGCCTGCATTGATTTCAAGGTTAAGACAGTTAGGAGCACTGGTCATTCTACTAGTATTTGTTACTAATTTGGGAGGATTTCTAAGTGGCTTCTGAAGGTAGGAGTGACACTGACGATGTGGCGATGCTGGTCACTGTGACAGGACACTTGTTACAAGGAGAGGTCACGGGAGCCAGCTTATCTTGAATAATGGGAATTTCATCTTTTACGGCCCTCAATGAACAAGGAGCTAGGAGTGGAGCTAGACATGTCTCATTTTGGGAAACTTCACTGTATCACCAACAAATCATTTGCATATTGAAGGGCAGGGAGTTTCCAGAAATCCAGTTTTCAACAGTGTCCCCTCCTCTCATCTCCACTGCCAGCTCTCACTCTGGAAACTCAAGTTCGGAGTGGAGGAATGTTAGTTTCGCAATGAGGACTTGCAAACAATTGTGCTAACCACACATTATTTTATCCGCTCAATTGCACCCGGAAAGACTTTTTTGATAGGTCTTTCAAAAATTGGGCAATGGGAAGTTCAGGCTGCTTCAGGGACTGACCCTATAGTTTCCAAAGTCTGTGCTTTATGACTGGAACATCGCATGGTCTGCCTCCCTCACATAAAGGTTCCTATTTACAAGATCTGATTGTTCTACTTTCAAAGGGAGAAACCCCTTTCCGAGGTGACTGCTTCTGAGAACAGAACTCTTTCTCACTTTGAATATTAGCCTCCCTTAGACCGCGGAAGCCAGCGTGCCCTGGGACACAGGGCTCTCGGATGCTGTGGCTAAGTTTCAGAATTTTTTAAGGGTTCGTGAAAATGTTTGACACTCAGGTTGCAGAATGGGGAATAGAAATATATTAACTCCAAGTATTTTTAATTGCAAAAATCAAGAAACAAGCATTTGATTAAACAGCTAGAAAATGCAACCTCAGTGACAAGCAGTTGGCTGTAACTCAGGTCTTATGTAGAAAGTTTGCTTCTCAAGAACAGATGGTAATTCTGAGCAAACTCAATTTTTAAAATTCTAAAAATCCAACGGTTCATACTAGCAAAATTATCTTTAATATAGCATGTGTGCCCTGTTGAGAGGTTGGACATGGCATTGTCTCTTTAAAAATGGGGAAAGCTGATGGAGGGCTCACGAAGCTCGCCCGCCCGAAGGCCCTGAGGGGCACACCCTCTCCCACTCACAGGCGCGGCCCCTCGCGCACACGGCCGGCCTGGTAGGCGGTGTCGATGCTGGTGGCGTTGGCCATCCACCACAGCAGGGTGGTCGAGTGCGCGCCGCCTCCCAGGAACACCTTGCACGGGACGGTCAGCCTCGAGCCTGTGGACAGCGGACACGCAGACACGTGAGAAGCAGCCGGACGCAGGGTGAGCCCCGCTCCTCGCGCACCCGCAGATCCGACCGGGACCCTCCCGTCTCCGCAAACACCAGCCCACTCCTTTCTTAGAAGGAAACCGCTCCCTGGAGGAGTCCCTTCACGTGGGCACAGCACCGGTGTTACCCAGTGTCTCTGGTCCCTCCCCGGCCTCGGCCGAGACACCCAGAGGCAGGTGCTTCCCAAGGCCACTGGCTCCTGCGAGCCGCCTTCGCTCCCACCCACGCAGCTTGGCCCCGGTCCAGTGGACACGTGCCCTTCTCTGCCTCGCTGTCCCTCTCCCACTTCCCGGAACTCCGCATGCAGGAGGAACAGCCCCCCAGAACAGCCCCCCAGTCCGGTACAGGAGGTGCCTGTGCGCTGGCCGTGCACTCACTGCCCTGCTGTGCTCGCTGCGAGTCACGTTTTCAGTTGCCAAAGGAGAGAAGTGGGGGGGACACATCCTTCCCGTTTGCTTTTTCCTCGTGGGCGCTAGGACACCTCAGGCTCCCACGCAGCCTTTCTCCCCCCTCCTCCCCAGGGGACCCGAGACTCCTCCTCCCAGAGCCCTCCGGACACCCTCAGCCCTCCCAGAAGG